ACATGCCCTAACCCACATTTTTCTTCAGCTGTCCCTGGAAAAGGGCCCCCTGCCTCCAGGTTCTCAGCAGGAATATGAAGAAGTGTAGTGATTTATAAATTTTCAATATCAAATGATATATCAAATCATATATCTCCTATGAACTGCATCTTGTAAAATGTTACAACATGTGTATTATTTGCTGTTTATTTAGGATTTGTAGAAATATAGTACAGTAGTCAAGATAAATTTAACACCAAACAAGACCAAATTTTAATGGAGGCTTATTACTGTAAAAAATCCACACAAAATACAAGTTTGTACACAGTCTTTGTTGTATAGCGTAAGAACCACCCTTCCTATTAAATGCCATTCTAACAATGGACATTGCAATAATCAGAAACTGTGCTACCACAGAAAGAAATAACACAAGTTCTAAGGGATAGGCATCACATGTATTTCTGTCTGCGCCTTACAGAGAAATTCCCAGCTAGTCAGTTTCACCATGGTCTAGGAACTCAGCCAAATTCTCTTGCAGGCTGAAGAAGTTCTGGATTCTAACTAGATGCCTCTCCCCAAGAACCAGAATGTAAGCTCTACAAGGATAGGGATTTGGGAACATTTTATATGTAGGTGCATTTCCAGCACCTAGAAAAGTACCAACTACAAAGTCTGCACACAGGAAGCACTGAACGAATTGATATAGCAGCTCAAGACTTTGAAGCCAGGCTTTCTGACAGTAGAACTCCATTACTCCTTTTAAAAAATTTTTTTCCCTCCAAACTTTAACAAAGAACATCCTATTTTCTGCTCTACTAATCTAAAACAAACTTCCTGCCAACAAATGAGCCAGAGAGAAGGAAAGTGACAATAGTTATAGTTAGAGGAGCACAGGACTTCCTACAGCTAGACGTACTATGACTGATACAAAACAAAAAGCAAGTAATAAAAAAGGTACTGCATGTAAACTCCTTCAAAGGTGGACAGTTAGCCATAATTACTTGGCAAAAAGAGAAATGAAAATTTTCACTGTAAGATAAAATGTTTTAAGATCTTAGAAAAAAACTGAATCACAAGTAGATTCTATATTAGTGACCTTTAAACACATATATTCTAGATATAAAACATAAGCCTCATTTCATACTAAGGAAACAGCTCTGGTTAACAAAGGATTTTTTTATTCAAGACAGCTATGTTTTCACATCTGCTCTTTCTCCTCTTCCAAATGAGGAACTTGGTGGGTTTGTGCACAGGTGTGTGCTCCAGGACAGGAGAAGCCCAGACAGACAGCCACTCAAGTTCTTCCAGACCTGGAGACTGGAAGAGTGTGCTTCTGGTTGTCACAGCTCATCGTTTTTTTTCTATGTACGATTATATAAGTAATCATAAGTAGATAATTTCAGGAGATGGTGAGAGAGGTGATAATAAAAGGCCCAGGGGTCAAATCCATGCTCTCACCTCACTGCTACCTCTGATTACTACAATCAGTGCTCCATAGTATAGTCTGGATGTGTCTCCCAAAAGTTCTGTGTTGCAACCTTAATCCTAAGTGATATGTTAATAGTATTTGGATGTGAGGTCTTTGGGAGATAATTAGGATTTGATAAAGTCGAGGGTAGGGTCCCCAGAAGGAGACAAGTGACTTTAGAAAAAGAGGAAAGACTCAGGCTAGCACACCTGCCCAGTCTCCCCAGGTGATGCCTCAGCCCAGTTACTAGCAACAAGGGGCCTCATACCAAATGCCTGCTGGGTATGGCTACCCGGAACTTCCCAGCCTCCAGAATTGTGAGGAAAAACAAAACAAAACTATTCTTTTTAACTGATAAACTAGTCTCAGGTATTTTACTATTGCAAGAGCAAATGGACTGAGACAGCCCATTTGGAAGGGCTTATATTGGTGAAAATTCATGTTTTATTATCATAATAATCTCTCTCTTTATTAATTTCTTAAAGGCTTACTTCATGAGCACTATTAAATATCACATCTTTACTCAGGTATGGAATGTGTAGCTTGCGCACCCCTGGTCTCTACCTAATAATGGCAGCTTTTTATTTCAAACACTTGGTCAACAGAATTGATACATCGTCCCTGAGTTATGGGATGATACAGATAAACTCCAACAGAAGCTCTGTAAGGACACACAACGAAGTTACAGCTCTTTTGCTTCCATCTCTGTTAATACGCTCCATCACAGCAGTATTGTGAAGAATTAACATTCTTGATTCAATCTGTAAGTCTACATACAATACAATTCTAACCATCCTAAAAAAAAATTGTTTCCAAAAATCACTGAATATAAATATCTCTCTTTCTTTTTTATACTTAGAACTGTTTTTCCTTGGTACAAAATCATGTGACTTTATTTCATTATAACTCATTATTTCAGAGGAGTTCTGATTTTGTAGCAATTCTAACCATTTTAATCAGAAAATTAGGCTTCTATAAACATCCAATTATAGTTGATTTTGGTTTCCTCATCTAGACTATGTTTTTAAAGTATTCAGACATGTGTATATAATTTTCATATACAAAAAGTCAATGATGATAAATACAGTGTCATGTAGGTACCATAAGAAAAGTATTCTATGAGATTGTGTTGATAAACAATAATCTAATAATTTAATAATAATGCTGATGAATATGTAATTAAATTACCACACAAATTATGAAGTCCACTCTGGAAATTAATGTAGTTTGTACATTTCCTAAAAGTTAGAAATACAACAATTAAATATTAAGTAAATTACAGTATAGCCTTCAATAGAACATTGATGCAGGAATTTAAATAGTTTAAAAGCTCATCAAAACCCAGACATACAAAATAGTTTTAGTATTACAATTAAGTAAAAGTTGCAAAGTTTAAAGTCTAAAAGGGATAAACAAAGCAACAATTGTATTAGAGTGACAGAAATATGAATTTTCCTTCTATTCACTTTTTTTCACTATCTGTTTTAGTTTTCTCCAATCATAAATGAGCCAAATAAAATAAATTTAAGGAATGTTCATTTTAATAAAATGGGACTACATGACTTTTATATTTTAATGAAAAGGTGCTAGATTGAACAGGAAAAGGTGTTTATCCGTGCCTCAGCTCTCAATGCTGAAACCGTCTGCTACATCAGCAGCACCCAGCACCCTCCCTCATACTGCATCTTTTTTCCCCGTGCTGGGTATCAAATCCAGGGCCCCAAGTGTGCTCAGCAAAGACTCTACTACTGAGCTCCATCCCCAGGGCCCCCTTATACCATATCTTGAAACTCTCACTTGCACCTTAACATATACTAAGGTCTCCCACGCATACAGTGGAGCTCAGAAATGCTATCATGGTACACACCAGAAAACACAAGCTTTTTCCAAACTACAGAAAATTTGCTATTCCAGTAACATAATTCCTTGGGATGAAATCTAAGATGAACTCCAAGCATGTACTGCATTCCATCTCTAAGAGAGAGTCCTAACTAGTTTCCTATTTCCCTAACACAGCAGGATTATGTTTATGAAGAGTTAGCATGACACAAAAAGATAGCTCAGGAGTTCCATATTCATTTCATTTCTTAAACCAAGAGAAATCGCAATGTAAACAGACAAATGGTGAAAACAAACTAAAGTTACCAGACATTCAGGTTCTGTTTGTTTAAAGTGAGAGTGTTTGTTCAAAGATTATTAAATTTGCTAGTGGGGTGAGGACTTTGCAGCAGAAAACAACTTCCCTGCATTGAGGACACACTATAAGAATCTGTCTAAAGTGGATCATGGAAGAAGAAATCCATCACAGAACTCAATTCAGATGCCAATTACTCACATAGTTAATATGAACCAACGGCATTTTACGTAATTTTAAGAAGTTAATAAAGCCCTGTTTTAGAGACCACTGTTGAGTATACTGAGAACAGCTAAGTAGATCAATGGGGATGAAGAAGCACCACCATTCACTAAATAAATACAGTGCCAACTACACGAGGGCAGTTGTGAGTAGTGACAGCTAAAAAGACTAAAAGAGACAACAGATAATAAGTAATCTCCAGATTCAGAGAGCTGACTCCCAACAGAACAGAAAGTATGCCAGCGACAAAAATGCAACAGGAAGGTTCTTCCAGCCGGTCAGTCAACAAATAACGTCAGGCTACAGAAACACAGTTTTCTTTTTTTTTAAAGGACTGAAGAACTGTCCTCACAAGAATAATAATTTTAATAAAGATTAATAAAGATATGGAGTATATGTAAAGAAATGCAACTCTAGCATCACAATTCTAAACCTAAAATCATAAATGTGTACTAAATACATAAATATGTATCAAAATCATAAATGTGTACAAAGCAAATGGAAACTGGGGAGTGGTGCTGCGTGCCTGTAACCCCAGCACACCTGCAGGCTGAAGCACAAGGAGAGGAAACTCAAGCCAGCCCAGGCAACTTGGTGACTTGCTGTAACACTGCCTCAGGGGGGCGGCGGGACGGGCGGAATGTCACTCAGCGCAAAGGCCTTGGGTTCACTCTCTAGCACTGGAAAAAGAGAGAAAGAGAGCGTGCAAATGACAGACGACTCCACAGAGAGCAAAGGGAATTCAGACACAGGAACACACAGGACTAAAGAGTGGGAAGAAAGCATCAAGCACGGGTTGGAGCCAAAACTTGAAGGGGTGAAAAACAATGGGGTTGGGACAGCCAAAAAAAGCACCTATATGGTAGGGGGTAAGTTAGAAGTCCAGTGAGGGGTAGGAAAGCTGTATGATGCAGACAGAGATGCCAATGGAAAAAGAGACAAAGACCAGGTCATGAAGGGACATAAATTCCACACTAGGCCTTTTCATTGCACTGGTCTTTCTAAATGAGAAAACCCAGAACAACTTTCTGTGGCAAAGTGAAATAGTTACATATACATGACAGAGTTTCAGGGGCAATAAAGAAAGTGTATTTCAGACAGCCATAAATAACTGAGAAACAGCAAATAAAAATGGTGCTATCAAAAGCTAACAATATAAAATTTTCTTTTACCCTGTCAAGTACTGAACAAACTTACCCCAATGATACTCAGTCCCTTGAGGTAGTCCTGACGAGGCTGGGCTTGAGGAACACATCCGGCCAGCACTACTTTCTTGTTTTCTTCTTGAGCTTTTCTAGGAAATTGAAGGGGAGAAAAAAAGTATCAATTATTTGCTCTCAAGTACACCCTGGGAAATGGTTACGCATATGAGTTCTTCAAATAATAAGTCCAGCTAATATGAACCAGTATTTTCTTACAACTGCTTAAGAAAAACATAAGACTTCTGCACTATCTGTCCATTTATCAGAGCACTAAGGAACACTATAGGAGTTAAATCTGACAATGCATTTCATTATCATCTCATTCCAAAACAGTCATACAGAATGCACATGGATATGAATCATTCTTGAAAAACGTATTTTCCAAACAAGCCAACCTTTCAAATGAGTTTGTGAAATATTAATGAAAATATGCTTAAAACGATGTGTTCTTTCTTAAGTCTTTTGAACAATATAAATGTAAAATACATTGTAAAAAAACTCAAACAGGAGAGCAGGATAAATAAAAGGTATAACATCTCAAATCTTGGAAATGGCCACATTTTCCCACAACGCCCACCTATTCTTGTTCCTTAGAACTTAGTTCCTGGTTACTTATTCTTCCTGCCAGACTCCAAACATTCCTCCAATACACAATATATACTCACAAGCTGACTGGTGTGACACATATAAATATGTATGGGTATATAAACATATATATGTATCTCATTTATATGCACATTTGAAAATTTGAGAAAGTATTCTGAGATATACAAATCTAGAGGCGAAATCTATGTTCAGTTGTGTAATTATTTTCCTAGCATAAGTTCTAAGTAGAAAAGCTGGTTCAAAGATACACATATCTGGGTATTTTTTAAGAACTTATCTGCTGAAGGAAAGTTGGAGTTTATTTTATGTGAACATTATTCACTCAATCAGGCAGATGTGTATACATCAAATAATGATTTCTGTGCCATCCTGAAAAATCTTGTTAGTGAATGGAAATAATGTGACTTTGGTTTTACATTTTTATTAATACCAAGTACATCACTGCACACCAATGCTTTTCTCATAGTAAATGTGAAACAGCTTATCAAACGAAAAAAATCTTTCCACTTTCTTTAACAGTCTCTACAAGGAAGTTAACATCTGTTTCTTTTTAAAGAACTATACATGCAACACCTAGAGTCACTGCCAGACATCCAAGAGACTCTGCAATCACTAATAATTAAATCAAATAAAAAGCCTGCTTCCTATAAAATGAAGTAATTCAATTACTTAATTATTAAGCTCATTTAAGGCATTATACTAAGTGCTTAAGGGAACAAAATAATGAAGAAGACCAGCACCTTGTACTCCACAAGCTCAAGGTTTATAGCAGATGAGATGTGAAAGACGATAGACAGCACAGCATCAAGTAAAATGCTTTCGATGACAAGGAGATGCACAAGATAACATGCAATGAAGGGGAAAGAATGTGCAGGCAAAACAGACAGGAAATGGCTTCATGAAAAACTTAGGGAGGATTTTTATCAGCAGACAGGATGAGTAAAGGACATAAATAGAGGCAAAGAAAGCTCTAGGCAGTTGCTATGGTTGGACAAAGACAAGAAGGTAGAAAGCACGGGGGAGGGGCTGCACAGGACGGTGCGAAACGCTAGATGGGGTCATGAAACAGTCAGGCCTGATTTTAAGGGAGTAAGAAGAACGCTAGAAAATTAAGAGGAGAGGTCCCAAATAGGGACATGAGATTTAATAATTTATTAAACATTATTTCATGCTTTTATTGAATTTGGCTTAAAAATGGTAAGGCCAACCAGAATCATAATCTCAACCAAAATTATAGTCCAGTCATGGAATCTGGATGCCACACTTTTTATGCAAACGAAGCAGCAAAGGTTTTAATGCAAATTATCACAATCCCCCTGTTATAAGCATTCCCTTTATGCATCCTATATTTTTTTTAATGTACGTTTGTTCAGGTTAATAAAAGCCTGAATTTTTTTTTCTTTTTTTCTTTTTTTTTGGTTTTTTTTTTTTCTGGTACCGGGAACCGAACTCACGACCTTGCGCTTGCCAGGCAGGTGCTTTTGCCGCTGAGCTAAATCCCCAGCCCCTGAATTTTTTTTTTTTTTTTTTTTTTTTTTTTTTTTTGGATTTTCTCCGGTACCGGGAACCGAACTCACGACCTTGCGCTTGCCAGGCAGGCGCAATTTTTTTTTTCTTGAGAAATGTATCCAGCACAGACATATTTTTAAAAGCTTTTATCCTTCAAACTGTGAATGCTGATGAGACTAATACTTTAAGAAAGTTAAAATAATATAAATTACCATGTCTTCCCCTCAAATGGTCCTGAAATGCTAATTAAAATGAAAATGGGAATGCAAAGTTAATTTAATAGTTCACATTTTCTTGAAACATATTTCTAAGTTAAAACAGCAACATATCCTTGTCCAAAGCATTAACTTGAATAAATACAAAATATAAAGAATTCTTTCCATCTTTTCTCCAAGGCATAAAATGCAAGAACTAATTGGTACAGAATTATCATTAAAAAAATTAATACTAACATAATATTATTCCCTTACTTTACAGACAAGAAAACTGAGACTTAAAGTCATGCAATGGCTGTCTGTGGTGGTTCACACCTGGAACTGTAGCTACTCAAGAGCCTGAGGTAGGAGGATGACTAGTTCAAAGCTCACTTAGGCAACTTAGCAAGATCTGTCTCGAATACAAAGAGCTGAGGATATAACTCAGTGGTAGAACATTTGTCTAGCATCCACAACATCCTGGGGTCAAACCCCAGAACTGCAAAAAAAAAAAAAAAAGAAAAGAAAAGATGCAAACATCAAGGTTGAGTCAGTGATAGAGCGGCAATGAGCACCCAGGATCCCCTGGATCTGTGGACTCACATTTCAGAACACAAATCACACTTATGTTTTCATGGTATGATAAACACTGGCACAGATATTTCTCCACTAGAACAGCAGAGAAATTTACAGAGCAATAATATGCTGAATATCTTGCAGAAAGCAGCACAATTTAATATCTGACAACTCTTGCGTGATATGAGTCTTAAAATAATAGTCTGATGGAGAGTAATAAATTCATGGGAATATCAAAAAATAGCTCTCTCAAAGTAGCATGTAAGAAGGGACTGGTGATTCTTCCACTGTGTTCATTACTCTTATTCCTCATGCTTTCCTATAAATGGATATTTGGATAAAAGCACCCATAATAATGTCTACTTCTTTAACCAAAACTTTATCTCAAGAAAAAGTTTCTTAACTTTGTATATGATTTTAAAATTTATAAATACATACTCAGATAGTCATTTTTTAAAAACCTCTTACAATAGCACCAGAAACAGGATCACATCAGTCTGGTTTTATCCATAGCAAGTAATTTAATACTCTGAGAGTGAGCATGCCCCATGTCAAATGTTCAAGTGAGAATATACCTACTTTAAGTGCTGATACTGTTTTAGTCACTTTTCTGTCTTTGGGCCAACACACCAGACATATGCAATTTAAAGGAGGTGAAGTTTATTCTGGCTCACAGTTTCAGTGGATTCAATCCATGGTTGGCTCCAAGGAGTCACACATGGGGGAAGAGCCCAGCAGAGGAAAGCCAGTCACACTTCAGAGGCCAGCACCAAAAAATGACACACAGACTTTTAAATTTTTCAATGCAAACTCATACCCTCAGAAAAACTCTTCCTTATGACAGCACCAGAAAAAGGCCAAGGCATTACCTGTTGCTAGACACCGTGAACAGTTTAACATTCTGCATGTGAGTAGTCTCTACATGGAATGCTCATGCAAGAGGACACCTATTTTAAGTACTGATGTGCAGCCAGAAGCCACGACAGGAAGATGCATTAAAGCAAATAATATAAAAAAAACTAAGGAGCTAAGTTTTTTACAAAATTCATTCACCATAATACCTTCCCTAGATTCTGGAACCAAAAAGAAGGAATGAGCTGGCACCCATGCAACTGTTCACCTACATCATTTCACGGGCAGAATGTGGAAAGGCAGGCTCTGAGCTGCCTAGAGTTGGAAATAAAATTAAGATCTTATACGTTTATCAGTCTGAAAAAAAAATAATAATCCATATCAATATATTCATATCTGTAACTTAGAATATATAGCAATTTTCAAATCCAAAGTAACTGGACTATAACCTCAGGATCAGAAGACTGAATGTTACTTTAACTGATAAAACTAAAATATAACTGTTCGTTTTATGCTCTTGAGAAGAAAACAAAAATAAGTCATACCAAATTGAGCAGTCTACAGTACACCTAGTAAAGAGGAATCTAAAGGGTAAAAAATTCTAAAATGTCCATAATACAAGCCCGTAGGCACCTACAGAGAAGCAGAAAATAGTCTTCCTCCATAATCTGAAGAAATGGTCACATAAAACCAATCACATTGCCAGGAACGGTGGTGCACACCCAGAATCCCAGCTACTTAGGAGGCAGAAGAAGAAGAATCACAAGTTCAAGCCCAGCCTGGGCATCACGGGAAGTTAGAAAGACTGTCTGAAAATAAAAAATTTTAAAAGGCCAGGGGCTATAGCTCCATGTGAAGGCACTGGGTTCGATTCTCACTACTGAAAACGAAAGGTCATGAAGTTGCTCCGTTGTGCAGGAGTATAGCTCAACTACAGAGCACACACTTAGCATGTACAGCACAAGGGCCTGGGTTTGACAAAATCCAATATGCATTTTGACTGAACCAAAAAACCTAAAGAAAACAAATAGAGAAGGACGTTATCTTTTCTCTGTCTTATTTACTTATTTTGGGTTTTTGACACAGGGTGTTGCTATGCAGTTCAGGCTGGCCTTGAGTTATGTACTCCAGGCTGGCCCTGAAATTGCAGTGATCCTCCTGCCCCACTTCATGAGTGCTGGAATTACAGAATGCACAACCGAACCTCACAGGACGTCTTTTCAATCATATAAAAGCCATTTACGACAATCCTACCGCCAACATCACGTTAAACAGGGAAAAACTGAAAACTTTCCCTCTAAAATCATGAACAAAACAAGGATGTGCACCATCACTACTACTGTTCAACATACTAT